GTTGGGTATTTAATCTTCATAAAACAGCAGTCTTTACCCTCATCCTACAGGATACAGCCGTCTTTATTATCAGTTTCTTCCAGGCATCTCTTCGGGGGTGGGGGTGGTTGAAGAAATTCTACCCCCCCCCCTCCCCCCCAAACGTAATGGAATTTATATAGAAAATATATACTTTGACCATGATCCTACAAAATACAGCAGTCTTTACCATCATCTTACAAAATACACCATCACCTTGCAAATAAAGCGGCAGTGATATCCTCTAAACTTTTTCGAATATTCTTTTTTAAAAATATAATAGAATCTCGTAGGAAAAAGAATTGCGCACCAAGTGAATAGCAAAAAATGTGTGTATAATAGTGTGGAATATTATTAGTACTTTTTAAATTCATACACGTTTTTTGAGAAATCGAAAATAGCGTAGAGTACAATTTTTTTGCACGATGACAATACTTCCTCTATACTTAGTATACGAGAAAGTAAAAGCAGCAGTCTCTACGCTCACCTAACAGAGGCAACGCACAAACAGGGGACACAACTAAAGTTTAAAGTGGCTCCATTACTCCAGCACACTTTGTTTAGGTCACGTGACTACATTCCCGACGTTCACGTTTCTGATAATCTCGTCATCGTGTTTTTTAGATTAGGGGAGGAACGGGGGTGGGGGGGGGGGGGGGTCTTGACAATCGTAATGAAGCATGTGTCTGTCGTCTCGCCTCTACTTCAGACTGACACAAGTGGCAGTGAAGTCGTTACAATCTCGCTGTCGGTATTTCAACTTTAAATATCAGCAGTTTTTTTGTTTTTTTGTTTTTTAACTTAATTTAGGCGTGGTTGTGCAAGAATTTTTTCTTCTTCTTGAATTGGAATGTGATAAAAAGAAGCTTATATTCAAAATTCTGATTATACTTTTAAAGAGCACTAGACTATTTGTAAAAAAAAAAAGTTTTTTTTCTATTTCCGGTGTAAGTTTTGTTTACTTGTATTAAGGTGAGGGGCGGAGCATTTATAACAGGCACCACTGCTTGTTGTCGGATGCTTAGGGTGATGCTAGTATATTTAATTACACCAGTAGATCTAGCCTTTCAGTTAAATACAAAAATTGGGGAATGTAAGCCAGAATGCTCCCACTGAGATAAAAATGTGTAGTAAAAATGCACAGAGCACAACGATATATATCTAAAATACACATTGCAAGTATACAAGTAGTGGAAAGTAGTGAAACCTCTTTGATGATGCGATTACCAGCTCTTGATTTTCTTTCGGCTACTTCTGCAGCCAAAGCTGGAACCAAGCTTATTGTTTAGGATTGCTTTGGTCTACACCGACCAAGGTGATGGGTACCTAACTCACGTTAGGGTAAGTAAAGGCGGCTGGGCATAGTGCTGTACACACTATCTCTTCATATGCCGAGGTCACAGAAACAAGTGAACTCTACTTCACTTGTCCCGTAGACCGTCAGGTTTGAAAGGGAAACTTTACTTATACCAGCAAAGGAAGAGTGGTGGATCACATGTGATCAATTCATTCAACTCCCTGCTATGTGCCTGTATGATTTTACTTCTCAGTGCATTCATTGTCTTTCGGAATAAAATGGAGTCATAAAATCACACGTAAGTGAAAAATACAAACACGTGATAAGCTGGATTTTAACGATTATTATAGATCGATATTAACGAAATAAAAATAATTATTAGAGCAATAATTTATCTCGATTATAGAAAGAATATACAACGGGCCCTCCCTAATTCCAAAGTTAGATAAATCGGGTTAATTCACTTTCCTAAACCCCAATTCCTCTTTCCCCTATCTTCTCCAATGCACAATCATCTAATGGTCTATTAGACTATGGAGCCACTGCAAGAATATTTTAAAATTCTATATTCTCTATTTTGTGCATATGCAACATTTTGGTATAAAGAAAAAGCAAGCTTATTAGATCCAATTGATCTGAAATCTTACTTCCTTTTCAAATTATGGTTAATTTTTATTTTTTCCAATTGATCTGAAATATTACTTCCTTTTCAAACATTGGTTAATTTTGAATTTCCCTAATTGATTTTGATATCACATAGCTACTTATTGCTGGTCTCTTGCCCGACAACCTACTTGAAAACATCAACATCTGTCGAATTATTCTTAGCAAGTCTTTTCTCCAAGTAAAAAAAAAACAACATAACAGCCCATCAAGTTACTGTAAAAAAAAAAAACCTCGGTTACGTCCTCCATCAAACAAACCCCGCTACAACTTTTTCAAAAACCTGTCAGAGCTTCTTGTGACGACCCAGACGGGAGAATACCGAGCACTTTATCATCCAAGCAATACACTGCCTCAACCACCGGGCTTGACAGCGAGGGTGAAGCGACGCTAGCTCTGGGCGAAGTGGGCACGTTCTGTTTGCTTAGCGTTTCCTCAGCTAACTGTAGGTGATACGAGGTGATAAGTTGCTCTATTTGGGGAGATTCAAGTCCTACTTTGGTATTCTAAAGTGGAGAAAAATTGTTATTTTAGATTATTTTTTTTTGTGTTGGGGGGTTATTAATATTAAAACGACATGTCAATTGAAGATGTAGCTATTTTTAGAAGAAAAATAAAAAACCTTGGACTATAAAGTAAACGAAACTAAACTTTCAGTTGGTACCAAGTTAAAGCATGTAGACCTCCTACATACTTTAAAATAAATACTGAACGGCAATACGTATTTACAAAATTTAAAAAATCTATTCAATGCTATATTCATGAAGGGGGGGGGGGGGGATGACTTTTGAAGACGTGTGTCAATAGAGGGTAGGTTAAACCGTTTAAAAAAACGTAGGCTAGACGGGAAATTAATCTCAATGCTCAATATTATTTGTAAGAGTGATCATATCATTAGTAAGCTGGTAATTATTTTAAACGGGACGGCATGTCCTAGAAGTAGTGCGCTAGACTGCTAATCAGAAAGTGACGAGTACGAATCAAGGTTCAAGTCAGTTAAAAGTCAATGAGTCCGCTCAGCTCTAATGGGTACCTAACTTTAGGCGGTGGGGCATAGTGCCCTCACATTCAGAGGTCAAAGAAACAGGTGAATTCCGCTTCACCTACCACATAGACCGTAAGGTTCGAAAGCGGAACTTAAATATTAATAATATTTCGAGCTTTCTTTCTATTTTTTTTTCTATATTTTTTTGTTTTATATTTTATTTTGACCGCAATGAGAGTTAGTTCTTACCAGTGTTTCTTCCAGACTTTTTTCTCCGGGGGGGGGGGGGGGCACTTGAAATTTACAGTAAATCCAAACCATAAACTTAAATCAGACATGTAACCAAAACCTAATTCTAAACCAAAGCTAAACCGTACCACAATCTCAACCAACGTGAACCTCAAACATATCACTGAACCGAAATCTAAACCTAAACCCAACCACAACAACCCGGGTACCGGGGCCCTCCCTAATTCCCAAGTTAGATAAATCGGGTTAATTCACTCTCCTAAACCCCAATACCTCTCTCCCCTATCTTCTCCCTACAGCCGTTCCTTGGGCACAGCGGTATTCGACGCTCCCCCTGACAAGATAAGGGCTATCTGAATGACACCAACACGCTGAGCTGTCACAGTTGTGCGTCATCTGACTGACCAGTTGCCCACCCCGACCATGGCCCCAACGGCTGAAAGTAAGAACCGGAAATATAGCCGGACTGGGGCTAAACAAACAAATAGCACGGTAGCTTCCCTTCTAACGGCTTGACACGCGTGGGGAGTAGCCTCCCTTGGTAGAGGGTTGACACGATTCGGGGTTACTTCCCTTGGAGCAGCTGGCCATACAAAAATTATTAGATTCGTTTCGGGTTGATAAGACATGTATGTGAATGTCTTAGTCTGGACAGTGACATATATTATGTGAATATGTTGTACGTCTTGTATGGCAAAGTACTTTGGCAGGTATGCAAAAGGCTGCAACTGCTCATATTAAAAACCGCAAGATTCACATTTGGCCATGAGAACAGTGTTTCTTACAGACTTTTTTCTCCGGGGGGAGGGGCACTTGATTTTTTTTCGGGGGGGGGGGGGGCGGTCAACATTTTCCGGGGGATGGACACTGGTAAAAGTATATGTTTTCTATATAAATTCCATTTCGTTCGAGGTGCGGTAGACTTCCTTGGGGGGGGGGGGGGGGGAGGGGAATAAGCCGCCCCCCCCCCCCCCCCCGAAGAGATGCCTTGAAGAAACTCTGCATGAGAAGCATGCGACCGTTAACCGGGACTCACCCCTCAGCGCCGGACTTTATAGAGACAGAGGCGGTTGTGTTTGTGATGTAGTAGCCACACATAACCCATGGCATTCAGGGTTTCTTTCAGACATTTTTTACAAGGTGGTGGGGGGTAGGGGGGATTTAAAGTTTTTGGGGGCGATCGTTTACTTGTCCGAAGTGAGGAAGACATCTCTGACGTCATTTTAATGCTACAGTTTAAATATTAATTCGTCGCCGAGAATGAAATCATGTTGATTTAAAAAAAAAAGAGGTAATTAATGCAGTGGCATCACAAAGCGTGGTGATGGATGCGGACCGGGTGACCCCCATCGAAGGAGGTGACACCAAAACTAAAAAAATGAAATTAAGTTTTCCCATCTATTATCGAAGCTTTTAAAAGTTATATACGTAATTAAAAACAGGGTGACACCATCCGGGATGGGGATGACACCAAATAGGCTACAGTTTTAGACTATCATAGTCGTTGGCAGAGGGTGCGACACCCCGGGTCACTGTACCAGATTTCACCCGACCTAGTGACGCCACGGTGCTAGTGTTCTGGTGTTGTAATCTTGCAGCTGTGACGTCACCCCCAACACATTTTTTAAAATACCAAACGTTATCGAGGTCTGGTTGACGCTCAGATAACATGGGTGTGAGGGGGCGGGGGTCTTGGTGGGCTTTATATCAGTAGTCGTCATTTGTTACACGCCCATTTAGTAAGAACTGGGGTTAAAAATAACATTAACCAAATTTTTATGTCCACAGGAGTTCTCAAGCCATAGTGATCTAACAACACAAGTGGAATATAACGTTTAAGTGATATTTGAGCATTGAGAGACAACCGAAAGAATGAAACGAAAAAATCCTTGCTGATGACGTATGCTCATGAAATGACAGAATGCCATGGACGAACACGATACTACATTTGACAGAGGCATGCGATACTAAACTAAATCATGGAAAGACACTTATTGTGTTGGCATGATACTACCGGTAAATGGGCGCAAACGACGTGTCAACACGATACTGCACTGAATGTGTCGGAGAGGTATTATTTTAGCTAACGTGCCACAATACCGTGATAGTCGATATTGTGTTGCTTTTTTCGACACAATACTTTACTAGCTTGAATAAACAATTTGTAAAAAAAAAAAAAAAAAAAAAAAAAAAAAACAACAACAAAAAGTTGGCTGACAATGTGTATTCGAATCTGTCAGACTCATGCTAACACAACATACATTACAAGTGGTCATCTAAAAACTTATAAGATAAGGATTCAATGAGGGGGAGGGGTGCCGACAAGTGCTGAGTCAAGGATAATTTTAAACAATGTAATTACCAGTCCGGCCATACTTAAGCAATAAAATATTGAAATAAAATATAAATTCACAATCTTAGTTCATTCTATCTATCTGTTTGGCCTGTCATGATCACCTCGATATATATATATATATATATATATATATATATATATATATATATATATATATATATATATATATATATATATATGTGTGTGTGTGTGTGTGTGTGTGTGTGTGTGTGTGTGTGTGTGTGTGTGTGTGTGTGTACGTGTATGGGTGTCCTAAGAACTAGTCAGCCTTATTTCGTTTGCAATTTAATGTACTGTGTTTCGCATGAGATATTTAAAAAATTTCATTTCAAACAAAATAATGACCAGTTCGTTGTTTAATACAAATGTCACATGTGATTAAATTAAATTAAACAACTACCCAGTTAGTAAAATTGACTGATACAAATGTTGCTATTAATCAAATGAATGATTAGAGCCTCGCTTTCATGTTTGGTGTGGATTAGTTGAGAATGTGACGTTCTAACGGGCAGGATGTCAATGGATTTCCGGCTGGTATTCGTTAATTAGTGCAGCAGCTGTTCAGCTAATCAAGCCGGTTTCCGGCTATTAGAAAAGCCGGACCAAAGTATGGCGATATTTTAGGATCCTAACCCTCCCGTCTTATTGTTTATTTATTGTTTGAGTTTAATATACGGTGACGGTATGTTTATTGATTTCGATTGCAATTTGAAGAACTAAGTTCAAATAGAAAGCAATCGGCACATTCCGCATGATGCCTAAACAGAAATTCGGAAACATTTTCTTTAGATTTACTTCGCGAAAAGGAATTTAAATTGCTTGCAAGACCTTTTCGGAAATGTATTTTTCGCATTTGATGCGGTTTTTATTTTCTACATACCCTCAATGATCATTTAGGTATTTGTCAGTTTTCGTTATTAACAGCATAGCAACTGTCTTGGCAAGAGTAAGATTGATGTGAAGTAGGTTCTAAATGTTTAGTAGTACACGACTAGATTAAAATATTTCCGACTGTACCGGAACTGCAAATTTGAGCTAGACCCGAACTCGTGAGTTTTAGGCTGGTAACAACGGCTTCTATTACTCGACCATGCAACAACAACCACCAACAAAAACACGGTCTCTATTGATGGACCATGCAACAACCACAACAAGAAAAAACATCAGCAAATCATAGCTTTCCTATACTCTGCCTACGTGCTCATGGGATTATTTAGTATGGCGTTAATCTCAGTTTAAATATAACTCAACGTTTTTTCTTTAAAAAAAAAACTTAACCGCAATGGAGGTCAGAGCTACTTAACCATGCAAAACTGTAGCGGCACCAGGTAAAAAGTGCTACGGCACCGCTTATCTCAAGACGAGTCCCGTGGACGGGCCGCGAGGACCGGGGGACAGGCCGGTCGGCAATCTACCAGCGTTCTTTCGGAGTTAGGGCGGGCAAGGCATTTATTTTAAGCCCTATGTCCGCTCCGGGCCGCATTGGCTTATCGAAAGTGGGCCCTAATAGAGCCGAGGTCATGAACAGCAGAAGCTAGGGGCCATTATCAAGACGTGGGAAGCTTTCGGGAAACGAAGGCGGCGCGCAAAAATGTGGAAGGCGAAAATAGCGCAATATTTATTATAAATAACACATGGGGAGATAAACACTGCATAAGGGAGAGAATTTGAATTATTTGGGATTTTTATTTGAAAAATATTAGAATAAAAATTAATAAAAGTAAAAGAATTTTGAGACATGTAATTAAGTGAAATGTATTTATATATTACATTAAATAACACAATTTCGGTAAGGTATTTATCAGTTACATATTTCGCTGTATTTACGATAGAAATTAAGTCTTTGCATATCAACAAACAAAAAGAAAATCATGAAAATAAAAAACACACTAATTAAAGAAAGCTATAAAAATGAACCCACACTATATAAACTTACAAAAAAAGTCTTTTCACAATAAAACGTTATGCTAGTGATGGGAAAGAAATGAAAACATAAATACAATTTTTGAAGAACATGTTAATCATTGTGGTGGGGGGTGGGGGTGGGGGTCGACAGCGAATTATTAAGACGTATGTATTCCAGATAATTAATTGGTGTTTTTGTCATTAAAAATATTTTTTTTTTAAAGAACATCGCCTAAATCTTGTATTACCACCCACGCATTTTAGCTTAAACCTATTTTATTCTTCTTCTTCTGTCCCGTAGTCATGGTGGATCATCAGGGGCGCTACTAGTATCTTTCTGATCGTGTTCCTTCATTCCAGTGTCTTTCCTAGTATCAAACCCGTCTATCTCATGATCTTGACTTCCCATTTTTTTCTTTTGCCTGCACCTTTTTCGTTTGCGTGGACTGTCCTTTTACAGTTCGTTAAAGGGAAAAGAATCGAAGATGTAGTGCAAAGCTCTGCTGTGTGAACTCATAGTTGGGTTCCTACCAGCTGGCCAAACAACTTCAGTGATGCAAAGACAAGTTTTTTTTCTTCACTTCGCACCTGGCGATAAGAGCACCTGATATGGTGTCCCATGTGGGGGGGGGGGGGGGGGGCAGAGGTTGTGCAGTGCCTGGGGAGAATCTAAAATTTAAAAAAAAAATTGTCAATAATTTTAAACGAAACAAGAAATGTTAAAAAGTCTTGGTAGGCAACGTAACGGAAATCGGGTAATTAAAAACAATCATCTTGAAGATTTTTTAAATTAATACTTGAACTAGCTATTTCATAAAAAAGACTATTAATACATTTTTCGAAAATTAAATATAAATTAAAGATAAATTTGCTAATTAATTACAAGTGTAAACAATTTCAGAGTTCTATCGTAATGCTTTCAGCAACTGATTTTTTTTTTTTTTTAATAAATCAGATTTTGTTCCACTATTTATCTGGTTTCTGTTTTTGGAAATAAAATAAACAAATAAGATCAATGGCTGTTTCAGCGTATTTCCACCTCCAGAACTAAATAACATTATAGACTTAAGGTTCAAGCGGTGTAAAACCTTAATAAAGGAGACATTAATTAAATCCTTGCTAGCCTTAATGAGCGTGTTTGTTGCAGCACCTGGCTTCGTGAAAGATTTTAATTAATTTCTCGAGAACAAATTCCTGCCAGAAAGAGAAAAAAAAAAACCTAGTTTTTTTTCACAGTTTCGCAATCAAATGTTTGCCTCACGTGTCAGCTAATCAACGATTCTTTACTGCTGTGTGATCAGAAATATGGCTCGAAATATAGCGTGGTGTTGTTCTTCTACGTTATTGGCTGACGACTTAGACATGTATGAACAACTGTAAGAAGCTCGCTTATTTTGAATGGGGTTTACTTCGATAAAATAACATCATGAATGCTTTGCGTCATCAATGATGCATACCTCGATGTTATGTCATGTTTATAATCATGAATTCTTTGCGTCATTAATGACGCATAACTCGATGTTATGTCGTGCTTATTCAAGAACTCTGTTATCTTTAAATGAGAAATAGGGCTAGGGCCAAACTGTCTGCTTTAGGGTTGCAGTTTTCAATGAGTAATGTCAATGTGTATCCATTTAACGTCGTTGCGATTGTAACCAGTTTTCAAAGAAAATAAAAACGACTGCGGTAATCCTTTGTTCGCCGATGCTAGAGAATACGAGGCGTTCTACTTCATCTACTCATGGATTCTCTGAGCTGAAAGTAAGGGTTAGCTACATTTTTGTTAAACAAAATTTTTTTATTTCTTTTTGGGGTGAAAGTTTACTTTAACTAGCTGCAACTCCAGAGGCAATTGACATAAAAATGCAAGAAAACCCAAAGTTTAATAGAAATTGTTATAATTTAGGCTTACTAGACTCCAGAACGAACACAATAAAAAAATCAATAGAAATAGTTACAGTTTTAATTAGAATATAGATCCAGAAACTCTAAACGTAATAGAAACATTTACATTCTAACGAGTGTCAAGAATTTAAAAAAAATTATAAAATACAAAAAGATAAATTGAAAAAAAAAAACAATTACAATGGGAAAAGATGAAAGTTTACCAAAATGTTTACAATTTAACAAGGGCCTAGAACACAAAACAACAATAAAAAATCCTAAAGAACAGACTCTAATTGAAATGATTTAAATTTTACTTGGAATCTAGAGAGAGAAAAAAAAGCGAAAGTTGGCTAGAAATGGTTACAGTTTCAACTAGAAGCTAGAAGGTGAAACGCTTGGGTTTATCTTTGGGGAGGGGGCAGACGGGTCGGAGTTTGTCAACGTTAAGAAAACTTTCGGGTCGGTCATGTCAGCACATCCCAGCCTGATGAAGATGTTTACCTGTCTGTATACCTGTCTGTTTACCTGTCTGTTTGGCCGCCAGTGACAGGTCCAGGCGCCATTAGGACTGGGGCTGGCGGATTGGTTGCTTCCGTTGGGATAGGGGTGGAGCTAGCGTGAGGGTGGTGTATCTTGATTGGTTACAGGGTAGTGTCCCTTGGTTAGTTACAGAGAAGTTTCCTTGATTGGGTACATGATAATGTCCCTTGGTAAGTAACAGTAAAGTTTTTTTTGATTGGGTACGTGATTATGTCCCTTGATTAGTAATAAGATAGTTTCCTTGATTGGTTACATAATATTGTTCTGTTCTTATTAGCAGTAAAGTTTCCTTAATTTGGTATACGATAATGTCCCTTGATAAGTAATAGGTTTGTTTCCTGTATTTGTTACATGATTGTGTCCTTTGATTGGGTACGTGGCTATGTCCCTTGATTGGTAATTCGTAAGTTTCCTTGATTTGTTACATGATGTGTTCCTTTGTAAGTAACTGTAAAGTTTCGTTGATTGGTTACATTATGGTGGTCCTAAGTTAGTAACTGTAGGCCAGTTAATCGATTTGATAAATGGTAGTTTCCCTTGGTGAGTATCAGGAAAGTTTTCTTGATTAAAGAATAGAGTTCCGTGGTAAAATAAAAAAAATAGAAATACCCTT